GGTTAGCCCTATAATGGTAATCATTTTGCAATATATAAGTGTATTAAGTCAATACTCAAAACCTAAACCTATACAATGATAGATATCAATTATATCTCAATAAAACAGGGGGAAAAAAACCTCATCCAGAAATATGGTATAATAGATAAAGCACCAGATTTAGTCAGAAGATTTTGAGTTCCAGATGTCATTTAAGATCTGTAAACTTGGGCATGCCATTTAATGTTTTTCAGCCTCACTGGTACCTATTTCTCACTACATAGTTGAAGTGAGGGTCAAAGGAGATTTGTGTGAAAGTACCATACACCATAAAGGACAACATACACAAAGTATCAGTCAGAAAACAATATACATATGTGGGTTTGTTTGGTTCATGTACTAAAGCCCTAACCTGTAGAAATCCTGAGGATCCAAGTGTTAAATTTATATACCTAAAATAAACAGACAATCTCAGTGCAAAAAACACACACTGCTTTAGGATTTAAGGACAGGAAAGAAGCCTGCTCCCATTTGAGAAGACGGTGATAGTGAGTAGAGAATCACTGAGTTAGAGGCCTTTGGGTGGAGGTTGGAAGAAAAGGGTTTTCTAAGGAGCTAGAGCATCAAAAAACCCCATATTTGAATGTCTTGGCAAATGTATTAGCTCAAAGGTGTGTATTCATAAAATCACCTTCCCCTTTCTCTTAAGCCTACCTCTCCAAAACCAGGCAGCCTGCTGCTACATCAGGAATTTACTGCTGTGAGCAACTATAAACATCGTGCTAACAGGCAGAACTGCCTGCGAACGGGCATCGGAGAGTGCAGCGTGTGCACCTAAAGGCCAGAGACAATATTTTTTACTCCCTACGCACACCACAGGGCATGCACACTAGAATCTGATATAGCGTGAAGGTACTTTAATAATTATTACTATTAAAAACAATCACCTACACAGATCAACAACTCTTTTAAGACATGTTTTCTAACCTCTGTTTCCTCTCAGATGTATGGTTATTGTCCACCTGCAAAGGGCCCAGAGTGATAGCCAGAAATCTGCCACCACCACCCCTTCTGCTGTTGCTGCCATCATATTTAATTGTTTGCTCAACTTGAAGCCAAACTCATATGCAGTATATTTAGATGGTTAAAAAACCATAGCATTCCACTGTATTCACAGATTATTTTTGACACCACAATTCTTGGGAATTAGTCTGGAATAAATAAGGTAAAGAGAAAAGAAGCAACATAAATTTGTTCCAGTGACAAGGAAAACAATATCAAAATGGCAATCTGGAGATTTGCCATGAATGAAGGAATATAGAATGTTCCTTCTGGTACACTCTCCGGCAAATGCAATCACCATCTCATTCGCCAAGTCTGGATTTATTTTAAAGTGGGTGAGAAAGCAAGTAAGAAACTAATAGTAAGAAACTGTGAAAAGTACCTTTATAATTTCAAAAGATCAATGCACAATCTTATATAGCGTTAAAAGTAAAGATGTAGAACTGATATATATGTTGATTTTCTGAACCTCTGAAAAGTATTTTTCCACACAATGGTGAACTTTCTAAGTTGAAAAACATATATAATTATTATATGTCCAGGTTCTCTTTTCTGAGGTCTTGGCAACTGCAATATTTCCTCAAATGCCTGAAAAAACTCACAAATTTACAAAGTCTTGGCTGAACACTTTTGCCAGCTAACTGCACCTTAAAATTTTCAATCTGTGTGTTTAGTATAATTTAACAAATACTAACCCTATCACCCAAATGCAAAAGAACTTCTGAACCATGGAGCATAGAACAGACTTTGTTGCTAAACAGGTTATGGCTTGAAATGGATCAATTAATTAAAAATAAAGACCAGTGTTTTGTGCTTTTAATCTGAGCCAAACTTTACATAATAATACTAACAGGCATTTTAAACATCTAGAGCTTAATTAACCTGATTTTCATCCAAATTTGGAAAATGAAGAGAATGAATATGCCTGCAGATAATTTTTCATTTGAGATTTTTCCAGAGTATACTACTGGTACATACATAACTATTGACCACACATTATATTTAGAGAAAGCCTACTCTGCTCATCTGTCCGGAGCTGGCTTTTTCTCTGCATTCCTCATTTGCTTGTTAATTAATTCAACAAATATTACTCAGAACCTGTTATATGTCCAAGGGTTGTTAGAGGCACTGAAGACACAGAATAAGGTGGGCTCAGGGCTATTTTCATGGAGTTTATATTCTTCCCTCAGGGTTAGGCTTAAGAGACAACAAAACACAGAAGCTAAGGTCTCAAATAGTGATAATTCAATTAAGAAAGCACAGTATTTTTCTTTCTCTGATCTCACCTATAGGTGGAATGTAATGAACAAAATAAACTGATGAACAAAAATAGAACCAGAGGCATGGAAACATGGAACAGACTGACAGCTGTCAGAGGGGAGGGAGAGGGGAGACCGGATGAAAGGAGGTGAATGGATTAGCCAAGGAATGTATATGCGTAACCCATAGACACAGACAACAGTGTGGTGATGGCTGCAGGGAAGGCAGGGGAGCAGAGGCTGAGTAGAGGTGGGCAAAAGGGGAAAAACGGGGACATTTGTAACAGCGTCAACAATAAAAATAAAGTTAATAAAAGAAAGCACAATAGAGTAGAATGCGAGGGTGACTTGGAGGGTACCTTTAGATGGGTGATAAGGAAAGGCCTATCTGAGGTGGTAACATGTGCCCCAGGTGGAAAAAACGCCACCAACCCTGTGAAGAGCTGAGGGAATTGCAATTACGAAGACCGTAATGGGAAAGAGCTTGAAGAATCCAAAGAACAGGAAGAAGGCAATGAATTTAGAATATCACAAAATGAAGGGAAATGTCTTGAGATGAGGCCTGACAGTAAGCAAAGGATGTAGGATAGCACATGTAACTCTCATTCTAAAAATTCAAGGTTCCAGTTTCATCTTCAAAACACTATGTTGTCAAAAATTCAATTTTTTAAAAAAAAAAATCAGCATTTCAGATAAGTCCAAAGAAGAGAGTCTCTTAGAAAAAAATGCCAAAAACAATTTTCTTACCAGTTCAATATTAATCAAGTCTCATAAATAGTGTTCTGAAAATAAATGGGAATGTGCTAAAAGGGATAAAAACTCGCAGGTACCTTCCATCCTTCTGAAGTAGATCAGTTATGTTTATTGTAGCTTATGGTATGTAGTAGTTTGGAGTAGAATGCTTTGCACATCATTCTTCAAAAATCTGAGGCTCTTACTAATAGAGATTCTAGCTGTTTCTATTAAAAATTCATGACCCTTTTCTAAGAGAACTGTTTTGACCTGTTACTTCTGGCTAAATTTGTGCAAGTTCTTTTCTTCCACTCATTCTTGCACATAATATTGAATATTTTAGGGAAATAGACTTTAATAGCTACTGACCTAATTGAAGTATATCTAAAGTTATTAAACAAAAATAACAATATACAATTTTGGTGAAAACAAAAATTCACTCAAAAGAGAATATTATTCAGAGCAAATGCAATAAGTTTTGAAGAGTGTGCTGCCCCTAGAGTACCATTCAGTGGATTGGAAGCAGCAATGTACTGAAGTAAACTTAGTAAAATTCGTCATAATGCAGTTAACATATATAAACTCCAAGCTTTCCAAATATAGCAGGAAACAAATGACTTATCTTTCCTAGTTTGTTTCCAGATAGACATTTAACATTGTCTAAACATCATGCTATCATAGGTTCAACCTGGTCTCTCTCTTCCACCAATCCTACCTCCTACCTCTCTAAGCAACTTTGGGATGGGACAGGAGCACCTCTGAGGGACTCTGCATGAATAGGGTGCATTCTGGACCACTGCCTGCCAGGTGGTAAGCTTGCTGGGAGAAGCCTCTGCCACTGATGGGGAAGCTTTTGGACTGTTCAGCTTTGTCCATGACAGGTGGGTGGACTTTATTCGGGGGTGAAATACTAGGAATACCATTGTAACGACACATTTAAGATACAATTGTTATTGGCAATAAAGCTGCCTCCCCATTCCCCCAACAAAAGCATCCTTCTGGGAAATACTGAAGTCTTTCTCTCCCTCTTAAGATATTTTCTTATGGGCACCCAGACTTCGCAGGGATAACTTGACAATTGTACTATGTCATTGTCACTATTTATTGTCTTTCAGGAAAAATAATACTTAATATATTTTTCAAAAAATATAGAAATACCTTCTACATCACAAAGATTATATAGACTTCCATACATAACTATAAGCAAACAGATTACACTTGAATAATAAAAGGTGTCTCACACATATATATTTTGTGTGAAAATGTGATACTTAATAGAGAAATCCAATTTATAAAATTTATATCTTACACTTTTCACTGAAAACTTTAAACGCATTCTTAAAAACCATGTTAATTAATCCAGAATATAAAGAAAATGTTTATACTTTTGTGCAAAATAAATTACATGTTTAGTTAGATTCCTAGGCTGAAATCAAACTATTACATTGGATTGTCCTGGAGCGCAGGTGTATGTGTGCCCATGTGTGTGTAAAGCAGCATGCAACTGAAGCTGTAGCAAGGCAGAGCCAAAATAACTGGCTGGAAAGCAAAAAATTCAATCACGACAGTTTAACTTATATGTTTCCCCTGATTAGACTAGTTGATTTGGCTTGGCATTTTGCATGCATTCATTAAATTGTTGTAAACAAAGGCATAGTATTATAATGGCATTCAAGTCGATAACGTTTGCTGTTTACATTACTGAAATATTATATACAGAGTCAAAATATTTAAAATTCAAACTAAAATCAACTAATTTCATTACAGATAAATTATGCTGCCTTATACAAATCTTTTACATACAAACAGCAATTAGTATATTTTATATAATTTCAGATTTGTATATCTATATAAACACACATATATCCTATATATAAAGGATTATATGTGTGTGTGTGTGTGTGTGTGTGTGTGTGTGTGTGTGTACATTTTTTCCCCCAACCAGGTCCCTCAAATCCTCAGTCTTACCTGTTTTTGAGCAGTACACTGAAGGTCATCTTATCTAGTCCCAGATAATTTGGCAGCAAGTTTGACCAATTCCAGTTCCATTTTGTGATGGCTGACTGTTGATAAATGAGAAGATGCTATTGTTAGTTATTAATCAGTGTTAATATGATCAGTAAATTAAAGCTCCAGCTGTGATAGACTAACTAAGAAGGAGGGGGGTCCAGAACAAGGACTTAGACAGATAACATCAATCATGTCCACAGAAGAAGGTTTTTATTCCAATAAGACAGCAATTAATTTATAAATCCATTTGGGGATGTAGTCATTATTTATAAAAATATAAATCAATTTCTTGAGTCGTTATTCTTCCAAGTGCTAATGGCATTTGCCCAACAAGTTTCTCTGAGAGGGTGACTCTTTGAAAAGCAAAGCAAAATAATTGGTAACTTTTTTGTATATCCGTTTATAGTCTTTTTTAGCATCCAGGAGTTTTATTAAAAAACAAATTTGGAAGTGCCACAACTCAAATTATAAGATACTGCTTAATTAGAGTGTGATATTAATGTTATATTTTTGGTTAGGAATGCTTTAAAGGGGAAATTATAAGGGCTTATAAGTGTAAATAACGTAAGTGATTCTTTTTTTCTTGTTTAATAGATAATTTCACAACAGAGTAAGGAGAAAAATTACTGTGAAAGATAATGTCATATTTCAGAACTGAATAAAACATGCCATTTATTTAAATGAACTGAGGATAATTTAACAGCTACAATGATTATTTATGGTTTGGAGCAATCTAATGTACAACCCAGGAAAGCAGCCAATAAACTCGAACTTATAAAATATATTTGGTTTTAAAGTATTATAGATACTTATGCTCCTTAAACTAAATAGTTTTGATAATAAGAGTACAGGCTGATGTTTAAAATCCAACAAGAACTATGCCCTGTCACCTGCTGATTAATGGAGCACTACAATCCTGTCATAGAGCAGAAGAATTCTGCCCCGGGTTGTCAGCATTTGAAGGTCTTATTCTACACAGTATTGATGAGTGTAGACTGCGGCTGTAACAGGCATGGTAAAAATATTATCTGCATCCCGAATTAGGCCATTGTTTTAATTCTTATTTTCGTCAGAGCTCTAGGTCAAGCAATCCTTCTCCTCTGCCCTGTTAGTTCAAATAGTCTGTCAAGATGCTTCTCAGAAAAGCCACTGAAAGAATGAATTTTAAAGCAAAAGCAACTTTAGATTTCAAACACTTTGGCATAAAGGTGACGTTTTCAATATAACTACCAAAATGTTCAGCTTAAACAATGGCATAATCTGACATTTAAAAATGTGTGGTTTTTGACTTTATTTCAAACATCCTGTCTTTAAGGTCATTAGCAAATTCACTTTAAATTTAGGAATGTGTTTAGGGTTTTATATATATATATATATATATATATATATATATATATATATATATATGTATGTATTTTTTTAAAAAAAGAAAAAGCTAATTTACGTCACGTAACCTAAAACAGAAGCTCAATGCTCTATTTATAATTAATTTTAAACTATTTTATAATTTACCTGATAAATTAGATAAAGATTCCAAAGTGTTTCGTGAGTGTGGGTATTGCGGGAGGGGATGGAGGGCAGCAAGGGAGGGCAAGGCTGTTAAAAAATGCCTGAGTTTTCGGTCCTTCTGTAGACACGGCCAAACAGATGTTCCCTCTGCCCATGGCGAACTGACCTGGTCAAAAGCTAAATTTTACAGACCAAACATATGAATCAGTTTGACAAATAGGAAAAAGGTAAAATAACCTTTCAAAGTCAATTTGTGCACACCATGTAAGTAAATACAAGGCCTTGCTTCCTACTAAAAAAGCTTATGAGTAAATATTCAAACACAAACCATTTTTTTGTTATTAGTGTAAAGAAACCACACATTTAAATTAAATTTACCATTACATACCTGATCTAGCATGTTTTTACTAAATGCCTTGTACACATGGAAAGGGTTAAAGGCAGAAGGCTGATCTTCCACACTCCTCAAGGTTGTTTTTAAAGGTCGGATGGGTAATGGCTTTTCCTCTGAACCATTCATAGAAAACAGCTGTTCTTTTAAATATTCCTTGAAGGGAAAAAAAAATTACAAGTCATTTTGGTGAGAAGCATATATTCTCTTTGAAAATAAACTGATCAGTACCCAAATCTACTCTTTCAGCACATTTGCCAGATTACAGTGTATTACTTGCCTCAGGATAGAATACATTTTCAGAAAAAACATAGCAGAGTACCAATCAACTTTGCAATAAAGCCATCACAAAACAGGTTCACCTAATATATAGGATAGATTAGAAAACATTTAACAAATTTTCACATCAGGAATATATACTTGATATATTAGAACTTTTTAATAGGCATTGTCTTGTAATTCATTGGTTCATGTGTTAACATATCTGGTTACCAAAACTTAACTCAGGTGCATAATTACTCACAGTACAGGATAGTTTATTCATTTTTTAAGTCTAGTTGCTACCTATCCCAGGCTCAGCAGAGTGCTAAGTACTCAGAAATTTCACTACAAACAGCCTCACTCTATGTAGAATTAATTATAATCCAAGTGCCTAAACCCTATTTCCATGCTATAGTCTGAAAAATATCAAGGTACAAAAGATGATCAAAATGCGTAATTCTAGTCCCCCAATAGTCAGTAGCAGCCTGAATTAAAAAGTCAATCTACTGCCTTATTTCTCATTATCCACCTCTAAAGAAATAAGATGAACAATGCTAATCTATTTTATAGATCCCTTTTTTGCAAGACAAATGGAAATGACAAAGTTTCTGAGAAACTATCAAATATTTACTACTAATAAGCGAGTCATGCAATAAATAAAGGTCATAATTTTTAGTATGTCACAATATGATTTTTTTCTGCAAGATTAGGATGAAAATTAGGTTCAAAATTTTAGAGGTGAAAAGAACTTCAGAAGTTTTCAAGAAAACCATCGTTACTCTAAGTCTGATACACAGATCGGCCTCATCAGTCTTATCTTGGGGCTTGTTAAAAAAGGAGAATCTCAGGCCCCACTAAATAAGAACCTGAGTGTTAACACTCCCCAGGTGATTGGTATGCACATAAAAGTCTGAGGAACTCTCAGGGTGTCCAGCATGGGGCCCGTGGGCCACATGCAGCGTAGGATGGCTGTGAAAGCAGTCCAACATAAAGTTGTAAATTTACTTAAAACGTGAGATTTGTGTGTGTGTGTGATTATGTGTTGAAATGTATTTAATGTGTGGCCCAAGACAACTCTTCTTCCAATGGGGCCCAGAGACGCCAAAAGGTTGGACACCCCTGCTAGTTCATGCCACCATCAATGGTTGGCTCTGAAAGGTCAGGGGACAAGCCTGAGGTCACTGAGGGATGAGTGGTAGCATCAGGGGCAAGAAAACACATCTCTGGTCTCAGTCCACTGTGTTTTTCTCCTATTTCTATATAACTTCACGAATAGAGAATGCCCATTGTATTCATTATGAAATGCAAATTTCATATCCAAAAATCCTAACAATCTAAAAAAGTACTACTTAAGTTAACAATGATAGGCATTTCTTAACCTTGCTCATTGTGGATCACATCTTTTAAAAAATCAATTCTATGCTACTTGATAGACACACAGATTCTTACTAAAATTATTAAATATAGATAAAGCCATCAGAAGATAATTTTATGCCTAGATTTATATTTATGAACAGAAACAAACTTTTTTCCATTATGATTTCTAAAAGTAATATTTTAAAAAGGAATAAAATGCCTCCTTCCATTAGAAAAACTGCTATGTTTTGGCTAATAACTCTTCTTAGTGATTTCCTCTTACATGACTATATCTTGGCTTTTTCTGTTTGTTTATTTGTTTCCACGATTCAAAAAAGAAAAATGGCTCTGTTGCCAGTTGTAAATACAATGATGTTTTCTTCCTTGTTAATTTCTCTGGCCTCTCTCCTATATTGACACTTGTCGTTATCATTTCTTAAAAGTCTAGATTTTCTGTATAGTCCCTTAACCAGATTTACTGCTAATCGGGTATATTCCTTAGAAGAAATATATTCTTTGAACATTCTCTCTTGAACACCTTCCCTGTGAAGTTAAATCAAAGCTTATCTATCTATCCATTGCTTCTCTATGTCTCTTCACTGAAAAGCTCCACCAGTCTCGTGACCTCAACTACCATCTTCGCAGAAAGCCACCAGGTCCATATGCTCACAGCCTCCCTCACCTGCACTCATGGCCAGAACTTCCACACTCATACATCTTACCTGTAACTCAAAGACAAACATTTTAAAACGCAGTTTCTCTCATAACTTGGCTGTCTCTCAATGACACACACATTGTTCTCTCCACCTGGGCCTGTGCCTAAAGATGCCTCTATAGTTACATCACATTTTTGAATATTGTATTCAAAAATTGAATTGTAGTTGTATTTACAGCACAGCTGAAAGTGCTGAAGACTCACGGTGCTACTCATCAAATGAACAAACATCACAATGCAAATTCACCTACAACGTAAGGATATCTCACAGTGTAAAAGCAGCCAGAAGTATTATACTAGTCCCTTAGTCTCCCTTGTGTTGCTATTTGGATTTAATGCTTGCATTGTTTCAGCAATGACAAGGCAACAATTCTCATTCCTTTCTCTGGTTCTAGCCTCACACTATGTGTCTTACCTTGCAGTACCACATCTCCCCGGGCACTAATACTTAGCTCGACATCCCATCTGACAGACGTTGCCATAACAGTAGGTGTATTGAGTTGTAACAAAAGAAACATCATTTTTTGAACTTAATTGATCAAAATGTGGTGGTGGCCCAGTAGAGAATCTTACATGCATGAGATCTCAAAGCACCTGTTCACAACTGCCTGAGGGGTCCATGGTGTCCCACAAAAGAAAACAGCCTTTGAGTTTCCTGAATATCCGACTTAATTTTTGTTGATTTCACCTACTGGTGATTATTGATCTTTTTTGTGATATGGACCTTTTAAAAAGAGGACTGATTAGCCTATCAGTTCAGCAATCGGTACCAGCCATTGCTGACCTCTGAACTATTGGAGTGCCATTTTACTAAGAATCTAGTTAGCCAAGGCCAGGAGTTAGAGTTTCCAAGTTCCTCAAATAGAAACCCTAAACAAGGTGTAAGGGATCATTAGCAAGAGTAGATATGCCATATGACTCTATAAGAACCCCATACTTTAGTCCCTTAGGGACAGGGCCATTTTCATAGCTAGAAATTCCTTACTTCCTTCTCTGCTGATCGTGGAACACACTATCACATCACCTATTTATTGACTGGCTGATTAGCTGTTGGAAAGCCAGGAAACAAGATTTACTTAAAGTAACTTTCAGGTAGATAATAGTGGGAAGAACATTAAATAACTCAATTGTAAAATGCTGTGACAGAATTTAATTCATGCCTTAGAAATGTAGTAAGGCCTACTTCCTTGAGATAAGCACTGCATCTTCACATCATTCATATTGTACCATTTTTGCTACTCCAAAAATTACAATGTATTTGCAAATATAAACATAATTCTTTTCACATTAGCTGTCACAGTCTAATTATGATCAAATGAGAAACCTGGTTAAATGAGCAAGCTTGTATTGTTTGGAGTGCATAACTGTGGCACTGCTCTTTACATTTTTGCTAAAACTGCATGAAACATGCAAGGTCAGAGGCTTAACCCAGCTGACAGGTGGACAAGCATGACATTGGTCCTAACCAGTGTATGTGCATTCATGCATTTTCTTGGGTTAAACTAGTTGCTTTTGAATATGGCTCAACAGCCTTCTGAAGTTTTCTCAGTATGTAAGAAGCCTCCAACTTCACTGACACAAGTATGCCGTCTACAGGAGAAGAGCTACCTCTCTCCAGAAAATTCTTCATTTCATAAACACCAAATTTTAACATTAACTGAACAGTCACAAACACACAATTCCCAAACTACACCTCTAGTCTATGTGATTCAGAACTGAACTGAGTTTATGAGCCATGTTATTGTTTAAACCATATAAATAAAACCTACATTGTTTCGGTGAAGCTTCTGCTGTACAAATGCAGAACAGCCGGGGCTGAATAGATTCTATTAATAATACAATATTGAGTTTGGTATTGACTTTAAGAAGTATTATCACCTCCTTGACTAACCCTTAGCTGCCAGCAGACGCTGCCTCAGGCCAGTACACACCTAATTGCTCGGTAAAAAGGCCGTTTCCCTACCTCATTGAGCCGCATGATGTGATAAATTTGCCTCAGGTACTCGCTGCCACCTGGTTTGTGGCAGATATCCAGGACCATCATGTTTATTTTCTGCTCAGTCAGTTCAAGAGCAATATCTCCTTCTTCTAAGGCTGTGCCTTTCTCTGTTGTCATAAACACACTAAGTACAAAGAAAGCATAAATATATCAGTGATGAGGAATTGTAAAGATGAAAAACAATCAGAGATTGAGTGTGGAGAGTCGATGCAAGTCTCATATTCAAAGCACCCATAAAGACTTTGCTCAAATAGGTAAGCCTTCCCAAACCACTGCTGCTCATATAAACAGTGCCTTAGAACTAAGCACCTGAAAGCATTTTCAAAAATATTGAATCATTTTTTAAAACATTTCTTTATTGCATTTATACTCCAATCTATAAAACATTTTCCCATTACTGCAATTATTGAAATTGCCATAATCATGGGATGAAAACAAAACATTTCTTTTTAAGAACATGTAAGAAATAATTTGTATTTTCTCTTTGAGGATAAAAAGTACCTTTGATGCCAGAAATAGCTTTGGTACTCTGTCTTTTGTAGATTCTTCTTTACACCTGTCTTAGAACACATTAAGGACTAATTAGAGTGTCAAAAGGGGGAGCCCATTATGCTAAATATAGGCTGGGTGCTTCCTGGTAGTGTGCTTACCACTGGGTATTTTAAATTGGCCTTTTGACACTTGTTGCCTTTTAAAATTATATTCCCCCTCTCCTGTTTCTTCTTGGTAATAGATATTTAGTAAAAGTCACTACCCTGATTATTATTCCAGCAAAAGGTCTATTATCACTACCTCAGGAATGTGCAAATTATATTTGGGAAACACTTCTTCTATCATATGTTTATTATTTACTTTAAACGTTATTTACATAGTAGTAATGGATGGCATATTTTTAAAAAACAGTTCCCAAGCTAAAAGTGCAAAATAAATCATGATATTCAACTTAAATCATATATAGTCCACACTAATTTTTTTATTGCAGATGCTATTTGGATCATGTTAGGCTTTGCAATCTAAACATTCTTAAGAAAACACATGGTTTTCCACTGTTTCCCAGACTAAATGAAATTTACTGTGGTGTAATCAGCTATATACTGCAGTTCATTACTGAGATTTTGCCATGATTATAAAATTAGTTCTGCTAAGAGTCAGTGCCGCTGACCTGAAGACTGAACCAAATGATACCCAGCTGCTGGACATTAACTTTTATATTGCTTCCACATGTAGCTTCAAAACATCCTTCTTAAAAAAAAACCCCAAACTTTATGATCATATAAGCCTTGCTAAAAAATAAAGCAAATCCTACTCTGAGATTTTCATTAGCTGGAGGAAATATCTTGAAGCTGCATACAGGTTGCAAGCGAAATTTCTCGTCAGGTTTTGCAGAGGCTGACATTGAAAAAGTTGAGGTCTTCTGACAAAGGAGAGCCTCAGTGTCAGCCCCTGAACTGTATCCTTTCCTGTCCATCACTGTGCAGGTGAAGCAAATGATTGGATTCAGTCAATGCTATGATTAATGAGTTCCTCTCTGGATTTGGGACTGCATATCAATCATGTCATTAGGGAGAATGTGCCCTGAAAGAGGCAGACCTTAGCCAAGGAATAACTGCATTAATCTTAATCTGTATATGCACCCAGCGAGCCAAGTCAGGGTCACCATGATGAAAAACAATAATCTTCAACTCGACAAATTACTTTGCAAAGACAGACATTTCTTTACTTTTTGGGCTGTGTGTTCTCCAGAATCTAAGTTGACTGTTTACAGCTTGAGTGTTACTACAAAGTGAAGGTTATTTTAATGAATAGTAATGTTTTCAGGCAGTATGCAAGACAAGCAATGCTTACAGCTGCCACTTTCCACTGCAGTTATTTGCACAATTTCCATAAAATCAAAGTTAAATCTGGATGCAAGTGAAAGAAATCGAGCTCATAATGATATTGTGTAGTTCCAAGATAATCTTCCTGGAAAATTAAGATTCAATTCATCTTAACAGAAGAACTATTTAATTTAATTCTCATACTTAAAAAATATGATAAAGTCAAGGAAACTTTCCACTTATATACAGTATCATTGTTTAAAATACATTTTCCTCATAGTATAGACCTATGATATAAGCAATTGTCAATTTATGAGAAGTATGTAGAGGTGGAAGTTGACTTATATACCTGATATGGAACTTAAAAATCAAAGTAAGAAGAAACATTTCTATAACACCCAAATCCTGTAAGATATGACCTAAAGTGAATTAATAAGTCAAATTGAACTCTTTTTCAAATAAATGTGATAACTTTAAAATCAGCATTTTGATATTGATGCCATTTGAGAAATAGAGAAAGACAGCATTGCGGTAATTACATAGTTACATAATATATATTTAGAATATTTAAGGGCTATAAAACATTTTTAAAAGTCAGCAATTCATTATTTTGGATGCATGTTGTAACAGATAGCCAATCAGCCAAATATTTGCTAGACAACTCCCTACATAGGAGATACCAGGTGTTAGTGCTGTTTATAAAATACTTAAACTAAACTTTTAAGGAAAGTTTTACTTGTGGATTCCTGTATGTGGCCCCAGGTGTAGGACTGGGACGTACTTTGAACTGATTTTGTTGCTAGAGGGGCTCCTAAATCAGCAGTTTCATAAATTTAACTTTGTATCTATAATCAGATCCACTGTTTTTACTCATCTTTATTCTCTCTCTTTCATAGTGACTTCCATGGATAATGACATCTGGTCTTAATCTTTAAATCACTGGATTAAAGACTGTAAATTGGTATTGAATGCAAATGTAAACATTAAGAAGGTCATTGTCCATGTTACTAAGCTTTTACCTGACTGCTAGTGTTATCTTTACCAACAGGATGTCCTAGAAGTAAATTTCTAGGAATCAGTATGACAAGTCCAGGAAAATCATGATTATTGACATTTCCCCATTTGGATTAATATAATGTCTTACAGCTTAATATAAATCAGTAAAGAGTGTTCATTATATTAACCAGTGAGTTCAATGTATTTTTAATAGAATCTATAAATAACAAATGCTTACTAGTTTTAAGTTTAGTGCTAAGAACTTTATAAACGTTATTTAATTTCTCAAAGCAACTCTACTAGGTTGGTATCATCCCAGGAAACGAGGCTTTGAGAGTCTCTATTACTTGCAGAAGATGGCCCACTTATAAGCGATTTGTATTTGCCCCTCTGATACCAAAGCCTGTGCTCTTTATCATTACCATGTACTAAGACAATTAATAACTTGCAGTCATTTCAGGAAGAACATTATAATAGGATCTGCTGGCAACATAAGTATATTTTAAAAGAATGCGGACAGTGTGTGTGAGTGGTATAAAAAAGGAGGAAGGGCTGGCTTAGTGATCTGCAGACCATACGAACCATAATTCCTTTATCCATATCATGCAATTTTGTACCGAAGACTAATTTTAAGAAAGAAGGACTCTATGTACATATTTAAACTCATCAGGGACCCTTAAAAATCTCTGCAATACCACAAATCATTTAGCTCTTGGTGACAAACCTGTGAGAAGGCTGACATTTTCATACAGAAACAGCTGGGCGTGTTTATAGCTCAAGTGTGATATGCCCCGGTTGCCCTCTGGGACTCTTACATTACCAGATGAAAAATGTGTACCTTTTTGACAATCAGGTACACAGAAAGCAATAAAAAGCCTTTTATATCCATTAATGCCTTCTTAATTTAATCTCCATGCCCAATCCATTTACAAAAAGCTCCAGGCTATCCGCTAGATACCTGTTTGCACACTGAAAAGGAGTGAAACCAAATTCTCCTGGGTTTAACTACCACCCTTTTAATCAGAAACCTTAAGATGGTGACTAAACAAGTATAATGTTCCAGTGTATCAATGGGTTTCAAATTTTAATAAGACAAGGAAAGTCTAACAATCCAGTTTTCAATGCAATTTTTATCTTTTTTGATATTCATCAAAATTCCCATGAAATTACCAAATGACCATTGTTGCTTATCTGACAATATTTGGTTGTTGCTGCTTATTGGCAATTTTGTGATAGTGAATGTATTTGATGAAGTTTAGTGAAAGAAAAACATTGCTTTACCATTCAGTGCTCAATTTCCTTGCTTTCAGCAATTGGCATTTAATCCAGTTGGGTTTTTGCTGCTCAATGCTCTGAATGACCTTTTGGGCCATTTGATTAGGGCTACTTGTCTGCTCTCCCATGATGCTTTCCAAACACACACAGATTAAACCCAGTTTCTCTTTACTCCATCTGTCAAGGGAGGCACCTGTTAGAAGTTCCACAGTGTTTCCATCCTCAAATATCCGACATATAATTACAATCAAGTTCCAGACAAGCAGGCTAGCTTTCTTCAAGTCAACAAAGTTTTTTGACATTTTTCTCTCAGACAGAAAAAAGAAGTACTTAATTGGGGGAGGCAAACATGCAATCACTGTAGGTAACTTGCTGATTACAATAGATACTGCCTGAGCAGCAAGCCTTGTGAAGCCTGGGGAAGAAAAGAAAGAAAAGGTATGATTAATATTAGCATTTATGTTGCATCACTGTGTTGTTTGGAGTGTTGTGTGGGGATGTCTAATTTTTGTGGAGAAAATCAATGAGAAGAGCCAAGCGCTTGACATATTCTGACTGAACTCTACTGGGGACCCCTGCAGTAGTGCCTAAAATTCCCAAATGTCAAACTTATTTTTTCTCCTACAGATAAAGATTAGAAAATTCAGAATTACTATTTATATATTTTTACGTATTAAGGCTGCAGGTTTAAAGGGCCCAGATGTTCTCAACTTACAAAAGCAAGGAACTGCTGCTAGACCTCTTTGTGGTCTTTACTTCCGTAAGCCTTTCTCTTGCTCCCTTGGAATCCGTGTCAGGATCGTTTGAGCTCTGGTCAAGATGAGCTCCTCGTCTTTCAGCTCTTAGCCCAAACATCACCTCTTCACAGAGCCTTCCTTCACCATCCATCTAAAGCAGTCCTTTCATGCCCTTCGTTTCCCAACCTCAGTCCCTCCCTTTCATTAGACCCCAATTTGTTGCCTTTTTATAGCACTTAGTACCACCTAATAATCACCTCATTTATTTGTTCATAATCTGTCACCCTACACTTGAATTTAAGCTCCATGAAGCCATTGCTGTATCCCCAACACTTAGAGCACCATGTATAATTGTTGTTCAATAAATACTTGTTGAATAAATGAGTGAACAAACTTTCATGGTTACCTCTATTACTCTTCTTTGCTTCTTTGTGTCTTGTGCTCGTTCCACTTCCTACTAATAACTCTTCAAGATGGGTATTTGCTAAGAATTCTGTGACCCATTGACCCACAATTCTATACACTCTCCTTTGTTTGTTGTTACTTGTTTTAATGTCTACTGATGTTCCCTCTCTATATCAGGGTTTCTCAACTATTGACATTTTGGGCTGGATAATTCTTTGTTGTGAGCAGCTGTCCTGAGCATTGCTGGATATTTCGGAAGCATCTCTGGCCTCTGCTCACTAGATGCTAGTAGCACCCTCCTCCGTTGTGACAACCAAACACTGCCAGACATCTCCAGGGGCAAAATCTTCCCTGGGTGAGAGTGATTTTCTAGATGATTCCAGAATCTTCAGTCTTGGCCTTCTCCAGGGTAGCAATCCTAAAACTTCAGCTCCCTGTTGAGTATTCCGTTTCTCTGCCCTAGCCATCATTAACTCAGTATAACTAAAACCAAATTCATTGTTTCCCTCACAAACTGGCCTGGCCCACTTTAGGCTTCAGAGTATCTCATCGTGTTCACACGAAATGTGCTCTCTTTTCATGGGTCACACACATTCTTCAAATCTTGCTTCAAAATCTTCTTTTCTTATGAATTTATTTAAACATATCTATATGACTATTTGGTAATTATGTCCATAATGTGCCATGTTGTACCATATTTTGTATTACCATCTACTATTATTTATGTTATATTGCTACTTATGTCCTTATGAGCTGTCTTTACACTTAGACTGAAAGCTCCTCAAGAGAATGGAAAAAATCTCATTGCTTCTTGAGTATCTCACAAAGCCAGGCACAGTGTTTTATGCACACAAATTATCCTGAACCTTGGAACTAAGTGAGAGATCAAAAGAACATAGCTTTGAGTTCTTCAGTAAAACATTTATTGGTTTTACTGATCAAAAATAATAAAACAATGTGAAATATTTTTCAAGGTATTTGCAACATTTAAAGAAGTCAATGTGCTTTAAAAATGCACAAAGCTCTTGAAAAACATATGTCTAGTCTGTGACTCCTCAGAATTTCATGAAAACTTCAGAATCAGTTTAAAAATTAACTAGAGCAGTCTTTTTAAGTTTGTAAACTGGATCCAACATATATTTGAATGATGACATAAAACTACTAGATTAAGTAAAATAATAAATGTGAAAGCACCTAGTTAGGTACTTGGTAAAAAAATAGCTTCTCAATAAATATTTTCTACTAATTCAAATAAAAATGTTTAGATGAGGGTTAAAATATAAACAGAGCAAATTAATAGACTTTTTTGTGACCCCTCTTCTCTGTGTTCTTAAATTATTTTATGTGTTTTATGCTTCTTTATGTATCTCATATTCCTCATTCTACTGTCAGGTATTTGATTAAAGATTGTTTCTCATATTCTGTTTATCCTAGACAGGGTTTAACTACAGACACTAAGTAAATATTCGACAATCTTAGTAGGTATCAGGTAAAGATTACCAATTCTCTTCACACCTGCACTTTATAAAATCTGAGAATGCCAGGTACTCAAATCCCCAACACTTCATTAAAACTTAAGGCAAATTCCAGTCAGAAACATTAAGCTGATGACAAATTAATAAATCCATTCTACTAATCTCAGAGGCTCTGAGTCTATGATGATGTTAACCAGGGAGGAATCTTTTAAGAATGCCACACACTTATTTTTCTGTCTTTATTTAAATAGCCTGACTCTGATCTAAGCCATATATATGTAAGATATTGTAAGAGATATCCCAAGTTCAGAGCTAATAGATGTGAAAAAAAATTGTATCTTAGAATAAATTCAATGTGATGTGTATGTTTATGTATTTATCATTTCTTCCTTCCTCTGAATGTTGTCCTGTCTATAATATATTTTGTGGATCATAAAATGTGCAAAAGGGAAATTTACAATGGATGAGGTAAAGACAAAAGATGTCTTAATATTAATGAAAATTTTTTTGTTTATTAATGGTATAAAATGTCAACAATAATTTATTGCGTAAGAGTAATGTGATTTAATATGCTTTATTGTTTTTAACACTTGGGCTTAACACTCTATGAAACACTGATTCACAGGTTGAATTCTAAATTTGATTTGTTTCCATACTTGGTTTTAATAGCTGTAATATGGGGAAAAGCCACAACATGAACATACATAGGTCCATGTGGAGTAAGCGTATCAACAACTGTGCTTGCAAAATCATGGCACTTGCTTTTCAATCTCAGTCACCAAAGAGGAAAAGGCTGTTGTTGAAATTTGATTCATAACTAATCATCATTTAGGATGTCACTTAATTGCTCTTGCACACAAGTTGAAATTTTTTTTGTATTTTTAAGCTAAATGTTAAAAAATCAAACTCTTATTTGGAATATTTTAACTACATTAGAAAATTCTATTTCTAAGTATTTGTGTGTGTAGCTATAATATTTTATAGGTGATAGTGGATTTGATAAAATGAATAGTTCTGGTGGTTATAAAATAAACTACCTTAATGACTTCTGATAGCACTTGCTGTATTTTTGCCACCAGTTTGTTTCTCAACAATCGGCATGTGAACAATGTCATAAACACACTTTCCTTGCGGTGCCACCTCTGTGTCCTCTCCAGAAGCCAGTGTCTGTTAAAGCAGTTACTCCAACAGTTCTCCACAAAGCACTGTTTTTATTTAAAAAGTAACTTACTGTTAATAAAATATATTTTCCAGTATATCTTTCATTTAATTGTTAAGGAAACAAAAGAATTTGTTCTTTGTGTATTTGCTTTTTGAAATAAAGGACCAAACACCTAAGTTGATCAATATAAGAAACATCTGAACTTTCATTCAACTCAATTCCTGATAAGTCTCCTACTTTGTATAATTTATTGTAACATTTATTTCTTTAAGGCTTCGGGGTTTTTGTGTAACAGTATTTGCTGACAAAGAAATAAAGATGTGCATTTTAGTTTGTCACCACAGTGTTTTCCACGTTCTGTTATTTTCTGTGTCAAGAAGAGCAAATGTTCCCTTAAGCTAGTGACTATTTGTCTCTTATTAAGTCACAATCTTCAAAAAAGACCTCTAAACATTAATTGTTATTTCAACATATTTTGCAAAGTACTGGATTAAATACACTTGACTTAAAACATTGCTGGAAATGATTACAGAGATTCGTCTTCATGTTTTAAATATATGGTTTTGAAATCTTTTGCAAGTCAAGATGACTTCAAATTATTTTTATGTAATAGCTCAAGGTAAAGTACTCACTTAGGAAGGACTCAGGTTTAACAATAATGTAAGGGAAGCCATATTTCAAATAGTTTTCCCACACATTTTCTTTTTTATTCTTTTTTTGGCCAAATCTAATGAGATTATTATTGTTTTTCTTTATAATAGGCTGAGAAAAAGTTCATGTTAGGAATAGAAATGTGTGAGTTTTTTCATTTTGTCATTGTTAGCTCTTCCTTGCATTCCGAGTACTGTAGGAGTATGTTTAGTCTATGCCTTCCCAGAATTTCAGTATTAGTTTTAAACTGCAGTTGATTTGTTGGTTTACAGGAATAAAGACACTTGTACATTTTGTGAAAGTTAATTTTTGTTAAATCTAGATTCTGAAATGGAAATGACAACCTTGATTCATTACCATATGCTAAAAGCTAATGAAAGTGTGAGGCTACCCTATCTGTCCCCTACCCAACAATACTGCTCCCAATACAGGGCTGGCTCTCACACAGACCAATGGGGAATTCTAGTGGTGATCTCCATATAACAGTTTAGTGAAGTTTAATTTCTTTCTCTACCTTCCCTCCTTCCTCTCTCTCTCTCTCTCTCTCTCCCTTCCTTTCTTCCTTTCTCCCTTCCTTCCTCAGGTGTATCCTGAGGTGTTTGTATACATTTAGAAACAGTTATAGTAGTCTTCAAGTGCGAAGAGGAGATATCTTATTTACAGTTATCTGTGGCCTCAACCCCAGTGCCTGGGAGGTGGTAGTAATTCACTTAGTAAATATCTATTGAAAGAAAAAGTGACAATTTCTGGCATGTAAATATATATTATTTTTTTAGAGAGCGAGAGAGAGATTTGTTGTTCCCTTCATTAGGCATTCATTGGCATGCACCTTGACCTGACCACAGCCTTGGCATATCCGGGCAGTGCTCTGACCAACTGAGATACCAGCCAGAACAATGTTATCTTTCTCCTATATTGTAGTAAAAATAAAGGTTGAGCACTATCAGTTTAAACAAAGACAGAAATGAAAAACATGGTATTATCCTATTGTCATATCCACCAGGAATGCATAAAATGCTTTATAAAGTCATTTTTTCCACCACTTACTTTTATATAATTATGTGAGTTGGCACTCCTTCATGGCTATCTATTGTGGAAGTGTTGTACTTCAACTCTTAGTGATAATTTTATAAAGATTACTTAGTAAGGAAAACCACAAGAACTAGTGTTTCCACAGAATAATCAGAGTGCCCGGGTAGTCTCCATCCATTGATCAAGATGGATGGCAGGGGGAGTTTCTTAAATCAAGCACACCAAGAGCTAGAAATATGAATAGATAGGGCCCTGAGCATGCCAAAAGCTAGAAAGATAATTGGATGGGGAAAAAAAGCGCTCTCCTCTGTATCCCTATAAGAACCTCTGGCTTGAGCAGGAAAATTGAGATGGTCTTTGAGATAGGAGTCAACTATTTTCCCAGGATGGTTGGCACCTGAATAAACTTCCTTTTTTATTTTTTTCACGAGCACCTGCCTCAGGAGTTTGTCTTTTGTGGACACAGGAAGCTCAACCTTCGGTTTTTTGTTTGGTGGCGCTCGTGTGCACAAAGTAAGTCTCCATTTTTTGGAACCAGAGACTCTTTGAAATGTTACGGAAGAATTCCAAAATGCTTTTATAAAGCAACATTACTTATGAATAGAAAACTTGAAATCCACAAGCAAAATGGTGCTACTCCTATGACATGACATGTTAACTATAGACCATGCTTCCTGAATTGTTCAAAATCTATGAAATTTCCAAAATCTAGAATGAAGAGTGATGGCAACAACTCAGACAAGGAAGAACTTAAGTAATGAAAAACTGACATTTCCCAATTTCAATGAAGTGACTTTACTAGATTCAAAGGCAGTTTAATAGGGCTTGGACAGAATTAAAACATCACTATGAAAGGTCACAGATGGATAATTGATTTGAGTTTGTAATACCAGGTTGTTGGATAAGAGTCACATTATTTAGGATCTTCATGAAGGATAAAAGACAGGCAAGTCCCTCAATGGACTTTAGTGGTTTGAGCTGGAGCATTTTACTTTAGACAGTTCCTTTAGAATTAGGAAAAAATTATATATTGTTTTTAATGGATGGGTATATCACTGTTTGGTTGTTTGAGAAATGAACAAAAGAGTGGAGCTGAAGACATTAAGTGCTTGCTTTTTGCCCACTGACAAGATAACTAGGACTCCCTGCAATATCTTCGCAGCATGAGGGTGTTAATTTTTACCTAAACCTGTCTCTTTCTGGAAATGACAAATGTGTTTTTTAAGCCTGTTTTTTTCTCTCAATATACCTTTAAAGGTTTTTTAATTGTTTATTGTCTAATCAAGTTGAGATTTTTAAGAAGTTCATTTTTAATTTGTAATGAAAGTTTATAATTTGATTTTTTCAAAAAAGTCAATAAACTGCAAGCACCTGTTAATAAATATTTCAAATAATTGTCAAAAAAAGGATGACTATCAAAGGGAGAAGTTTAATTTTAAAAATCTTAGGATCATTAGAGGAGATTTATGAATACAGACAGGTACATAATATACATTCAAAGAAATCTTGTGAATTTCTCAGAAAATAGAAACATCTCAGTAGAAATAAACATTCAAATGAGAAGACTTGATTAATAAAGTGAATAATGTAAATAACTGATGGTTCTTAACTACGCTCAGTAGATGCATTGCCTTGGATAGGAACAGTATACTAAATTCAGAACCATATGTATTAGAAGAAAAATACCCTGTCAGAAAAATATGTGGTTACTAAATTGGGTGCTATTTTTTACCTAAAAGCCACATTATGGTGTGTTAACAAGAAAAAAACAAAGTTATATAATTGGTCATTTAGGGGGAAAACGTCAAGGAAAGAAGAATTAAACCGAATATAACAGCAACCCTCTTCCGAGTATGAATTTTAGATTATTCAACAGATTGAAAGAAAATTAGTCAAAATCATGTGACTAATCTGTGAATACTAACATGAACACAATATGTTACAGAAAATTCAGAGTTGGTAGTTAAAGAAAATGACCATTTGAATCATTTTTATTTCTAGTTTCCTTGATTATATGACTCAGTAAAAAAAAAAAAATAATGGGTTCCAAATATACATGGTAAAAAGACTAATATTGTTTGCAAGTCTCATCATTTTTAGCATTTAATGTGATCTTCTATCCCAAAAAAACTGCTTCTTCGGGCATGCGTTCTTACAAAAAAAAACAGATATACCTTTACTTGATTCTTTCCTTTTGGTTTCTTTTGGAATGTAATTCCATTCTTTTGGAATGCTCTCACGCAAGCGTTCAGGAACACCAGGCTTGTTTAAGTTTGCCTCACAGTTTCTCCCAGAGTTCATCACAGACATTATCTGCTGTACAACGTCCTTGACAGCGTGGGTCAGTGCCAATCTCAGGCATCGGATGACCTCTAGCTCGGACTCCATACTCGTCGAGGCTTCAAAATCAGACAGCACAAATTAGTTAGCAGAATCTGGCAAAATGTTGTGCTTATTTAATTGGGACTTCAGTTTCTCGGTGATCTACTGTAAAGCTATAAGAAAGGAGAGCAGCTTTTCACCTAGAAATCATATAATTGATAAACAATTTATAAAAGTTAAAAAATTTCTTCTTGATAATAAGGCAAATAGAAATTAAAGTAACACTGAAATACTATATTTGCTGGTAGTTTGGACCTCCACTGGTAAAAAATATAAATTATGTGACCTTCTTATATGACAATTTGGCAATAATATCAAAAGCTCTAACATTTTACTTGCTTGTTAATCCACCTATTCCTTCTCTAGGACTTTATCCTAAAAAATTAATTATGGTTATATAAAAGGTATAAAATTGGAAATAATCTAAATGTCTAAATAAATTGCTAATTTGTTTAACTAGCCAAGGTAAAGTCACCTACACAATAAAGCCATATATTGTTTAGTATAAAAATAAAAGCAGGTCAAAAGAGTATGACATGCAATTTTATTTAAAAAATACATATCTACATACGCATATAAAAATCAAAAGATACACTCTACAATGTTAATGATGATTTTCCTCTTCCTTTACTTTTTTAATTTTTCTGCCTGCCTTCCCTACCTCTCTCCCTCTTGCCCTGGCCGTTTCCCTTTCTTCTTTCTGCCATCCTGCCTTACTTCTGATTATTTCTATTACTTGCCATGATATATTATTATGTGATAAATGCAATAAAAGTTTTTAAAAAAATAACTGCAAAGTCCTGGGGCCACCACTTGAATCAATATACAAAAGCATCTATATACTTTCTTTTCTCCCTCAAGTTTCAAGGTGACATTTCTCAGGTTACTCAGGCCATTGTTAAAATGACCGTGGTGAAGAGGATCATGGTAATATCAAATATTGAGAGTTTTTAATTTTTTAACATGGCACGATCATCAGTTAGGTAAGCTCTCTGTCTTTTTAATGATGTTTCAAGACTTTAATTCATTGAAAGGAATAAAGAAGACTTCTTCCTGTATTAATAATTAACATTCATTTTGGTTCAACTCTTTGGAGTCATGGAAATCATCTCAGGCATCTAAAAATTCTAGAAAGCCAGAAATTCTATTTCTTCTTGTTAAAAGGGTATGTATATTCCTTTTAATTAAAATCAAGATACTGATAATAACAGAAAATAATAGCTCTATCTGAAAAAATTACTTTAAATCTATAGAAATCAATTTGTGTAAAATAACTGGCACATAGTAGGCATTATGCATATATTTGCTAGTATTACCTAAGATATGAGCTTACTTACAATGTTACACTATTGGGCTGCCCAGTATTCTCTTGATTCAAGGTTCTGAAACAATCCTGAGCACAAACTACTTATAGGGAGGATTAAGCAATAGCTACAGATGCCAATGGTAGAAATAAGATACAGATTTTTTTTTAATAAAGGAGAAATTGGAGAAGAGGGAATATGGAAAAAGAGAGTAAGTAGCAAGAACTTCTGCTTTCCAACTCTGCATATGAAGAGCCTGGAAGTCACTATTATATCCTAACAATAAGTAAAAAGCTGAACAGATTGGGGGAAAAAAGCAACTCTTCTTAAAAATGTAAGAGGTGAAGACACAAGGCAGAAGTCTGAAGTCACAAGGTGAAAACAGGCAAATATAGGGAGTCACGGCTTACTGGAGCAAAGAGTCAAGCAGAAAGTACCAGGAGAAGCAGTACCAAGGTGGAAATCTCAGCTGCAATTGATGAATTGTTGGAGGCTCAGAGCAGACAAGTCTGAGAGTTAAAACTCCAGAAATGCCTGCCATAGGGGGTTGGGGCTGCCACACTTTTATGAGTTTTACCTCCAGGAGCTCCACTTGTTTCCTACAATAAATGTCAGCGAAAAATCCACCAGTGCTTCTAGCATGGGGAGAAAAAAAGAAACATTTTGAAATAGGTCAGAGCACTCTGTTCTCCTTAAGGCCTGCCCTTAGGAGAAACTATTAAAACAGAGCCTAACCTATCTAGTTGAAGGGAAAGGCCCAATTCTAGTCTCCTCTAGCCATACTCTCCAGTTTAGGAGGGAAGGAAAAAATGGAGAAACATTTGTGAAGTATACCATCCAGAGGCACAGACTCATTAAAAAATAGAGACCAAATCATAGGACTATAGATAGCTTACCCTCCCCCAACACGTCTCCACCACATCATTAAAGACCTATTTAGAGCAGTTCTTTTTGCCAGTATATCATGTCCAGCTTTCAAAAAAAAAAAAAAAAAGCCCTGACTGGTGTGGCTCAGTGGATTGAGGACCTGCCTGCGAACCAAGGGATTGCCAGTTCGATTCCCAGTCAGGGCACATGCCTAAGTTGCAAGCAGGCCACATACCCAGTGGGGGCATATGAGAGGCAACCATACATTCAGGAGGTTTCTCTCCTTTTCTTTCTCTCCTCCTTCCCCTCTCTCTCTAAAATAAATAAATATTTAAAATAAAAAAGAAATGATAAGACATGCTAAAAGGCAAAAAACAAAATTTGAAAAGAAAGAGCAAGCATTAGAAACAGACATAGCAAAGATGTTAGAATTATCAGACTAGGAATTTAAAACCGCTATGATTAATATGCTAAATGTGCTAATAGATAAAATAGGTAGCATAAAAGAACAAATGGGCAATGTAGATAGAGAGACGAAAGTCCTAAGAAATACTCCCTGAAAAATACTAGAGATCAAAAGCACTGTAACAAAATTAAAGAGTTTATTAGTAAACTGAACATGGCTGATGGAAGAATACCTGAGCTTAGGGATATCTCAATAGAAATCTCCAAAACTGAAAAGTAAAGAAAAGAAAGACTAGAAACAAGAAACCAGACCAGAATATTAAGGGACTATGGGACAACTGCAAAAGGTGTAACATACATATAATGGGAATACTAGAGAAAAAAGAGAGGAAAAAAAAACCCAGAAAAAATATTTAAAACAATAATGAAAAAGAATTTTTCCCCAAATAATATCAAAGACAAACCACAGATCCAGGAAGTTAGGAGAATGTGAAGAAGATAAATACTTTAAAAAATTATACTTAGGCATATTATATTTAAACTAGATAGAAAAATCAAACATAAAGAAAAAGTCCTGAAAGAAGCCATAAGGAAAAAGACACCTTACATTTAGAGAAACAAAGAATTACATTTGACTTTTCCAGAAACAACGCAACTAAGAAGAGAATAAAGTAAAATCTAGAGTGTCAAAAGAAAAATAATCACCCTAGAATTCTACCTCTTGTAAAATTATCCTTCAAAAGTAAAGGAAAAATAAAGACCTTATTAGACAAACAAACATTGAGGAGATTTGAAACCAGTAGACTTGCCTTGCAAGAAATGTTCATTTTTTTTTTGTTTTTTTCTCCTCAAGCTGCTTCTATAGTTACTGAAACTGAGATAACTGCTTTGACTTTGCAACTGCTCATGCACTGAATGCAACACGATTCATTAAGCCTGTTAAATGAGGAAATGGATCAATTAAGAAAAGTAGACTTGCACAATTGTATGGCTTTAGATATGCTCACTGCATCCCAAGGTGGGGTACATGCCCTAGTAGGAGCAGAATGCTGTGTATATGTTCCTGATGTTCACCACAACATAAGCCAAGCTTTTCAAGCATTAGCCTTTGAGACCCATACCACTGAATGCCTGACAGGTGATCCTTTGCAGGAATGGCTGGCATCCCTAAACATTGAATGGCGGTGGGTCCTTGCTGTCTTGGGTGGCAGCACTTTTGTGTTGCTTGTCTGTTGCTGTGGCTTATCTTGCTGCTGTGGTTTTTTGTTACAGGGCTCTGCCCTCCTCACCAAGGGAACTTTGTGGAAGATATCCTTGCATAGATTTTGTGGTAGGAACTCAGAAGCGGTGGATTGTAGGGTAAGTGGAGGCAGTCTGTCTCCCTCACCCATGTGTCTGGGTCACTAAGGGAAACAGTTTCTCACAACCTTGAAGGTCTGATAAAGCAATGTTCTGCCAGCCTTGAGTCTGGGTCCGATAAACAGTTCCCATGACATGAAGTGGGCTCGCATGTGCAGCTCATGCTATGTCACCTAACCATTTGGCCGGTAGCTGGTTTTGTTCCTTCTAGAACTTAAGAAGGCGGGGTCTTTTTTAGTGTGTGTGCAGACAGAGACATGGGCTCATGGCCTGCGTGGCTCCCACAAATAAAGGCATGTCAAGCAGAAAAAAAAAAGAAAAAAATAAAATAGTATAGGTCAAAAACTCAGATGTACATAAAGAGCATTGAAGGAGTAAGTGAAGGTAAAATTAAAACTTTTTTCTTATTCATAATTGATCTGACAGATAAGTTTGTTCAAAATAATAATACCAACACTGTATTAACTCAAGCATATATTATATATGCATACATATATGATTATACTTCTGTATTTTTATTTATAAGTGAAATGAATAACAGCAATGATACAAAAGGGAGAAATTAGAATTATTTTGCTATTATAAGATACTCATACAACCCGTGAAGTGTTATAGAGTTATTTGAAAGTGAACTTGGGTCCTGGTCAGTGTGGCTCAGTTAGTTGAAGCACCATCCTGATTCCCCATTAGGGCACATACCTAGGTTGTGGGTTATATGGGAAGCAACTGATGGGTGTTTCTCTCTAACATCAATGTTTCTCTCCCCTCCCTTTCCTCTCTCTAAAATGAAAAAGCTTATTTAAAAAAGAAAGTGAACTTGGATAGAGTATTTCATACTCTATATATACTGCGAAGTCTAGGGCAACCACTTTAAAAAGTAAAAAAAGATGTATAACTGATATGCCAAAAAAGAAAAAAAATAAAATCATATAAAAAGTTCAGTTAAAACCGTAAGAAGCAAAGGATTGGAAGCCAAAAAATAGCCATATTGTGGGCCATAAAACATACTTAGTAAATTTAAAAGAATAAAAATCATACAATGTCTGCTCTGATCATAAAGAAATTGCACTAGAAATCAGTAA